ATCTGAAACGCCCCCATTGGACCCATTTGTTTACTTCTGGAACATGGTGACGTCACTGAGGAACACTCAGCTCCAGCGCTGTGATGGTTAAGGGGCGGGACATCTCTAAGCTGGTTGACCAATCACAACAGAGCCGACCAGCTAACCAATCAGAGCAGCTCTGGTTTCAGACAGAGGGTGAACAGAGGAGCTGCAGCACAGGCAGTATGAGAACAATAAAGAGCTTTTTGAGCATTATTTAACATGAAAAGTTTCTGTTTTGTTTATTTAGTCATAGCAATTATTTATTATATTATTTCATATTTATTTTCTATATTTCATATTTTTCTTTGCAGTCAAATCTGTTCAAATGTTTTCTTTACGTGCAGATGAACTCACTTTGCTTTCAGCTCAGCGTCCTCGTATCCTTTGTTGGAAACATCGTCCAGTCCACTAATCAGGTGCTTGAAGGAGCTGCAGACAGCCAATCAGAACGCAGACAGTTATACTATAAATATACTACCTTTCAATCAATAACTTCAACAATACTATATCAAATACAATATTAAATACAAATATAGAACTTGATAAATGGTGTGTGTAGTTGGAGGTGGTGACCAGCAGAGGGCAGCAGCGGCTCTAAAGCTCAGAGTTAAAGTTTCATTTCACAGAAAACACTGAGTTCATTTCCTGCTGTCACAAAGAGAGAACAGGAAACGTTCCTGCTGTCCTATAACAAATCTCCTCCTCTCTCTCTCTCTCTCTCTCTCTCTCTCTCTCTCTCTCTCTCTCTCTAAGGGTCACTTACTCACGATCGATGACCAGACAGGTGACGGTGTCCGATGCAACAACGTTGGCCGTCCTGACGTCCTCCCTGTGAAAAATAACTTTAGTAAATTATTAATTTTTATCATTTTGAAATTATAACTACTTTTTACCTCCTAATAAAAACACTTTTCTCACACAATATTGCAAAAATAATCCAAATATTATTTCAAGATAATCCAAATATTTTCTCAAGATATTCAAAATATTCACTTTTTTTCACAACAATACAAATATTTTATCAAAATAATACAAAATATATTTTTTAATAATCCAAATATTTTCTCTAAATATTCAAAATATTTTCTCCAAATATTCCAAAACATCCAGATTTGTTTTCAAAGATTCTATGAATATTGTTTCCATAGTTTATCAACTGATTTCCTAGAGCAGAGCTTTTTCTTCTCAACATATTTAAAATGTTCGTTCCTCAAGTCGTAATTTTATATCGTAGTATTTGTATTTTTCCATCTTATAATTATCCCTTTTTAACCCTTTTCCTGGTGGCTCTTCATAATAAAGTAAAGTTAAAGGAGAAACAGAGCGTGCAGCAGTCGCATGCAGTTAAAATGACTCTCGGGGGGGAGAGGAGGTTTAAAGTGGAAACTGAGGATCTGAGCGGAGGTGTAAACGTCTCTCCTGAGAAACACACTTCAGACCATTAGGAGCAACACACACACACACACGCTGGTCTGGCAGTACATGTGGGGACCGTATAGATTCCCTCTCACTAACAGGTCCATGTCTGAACACGCGTCAGGGCTTTTAGCGTTGATAGCGTGTTCTTAGCGTGTTCTTAGCGTGTGCTTAGCGTGTGCTGAGTTCCTCTCAGTCGATACTGAGGGAGAAAGGTCTCAGAAAAGCTCAGGTTCAATACGGCACATTCCTGCGTTAAGTTTAAAGAAACAGACCTGTGTTCTGTTCATCTCTAGTGTTTCCAGCATCTTGTTTAGGATGTTGTGAGTCATCAATGTGAAGAGACAGATGTGAACAACACTTAAGTGTGATGTCCCTTTATTATCATCTCGCTGAGTCATCATTATATCATTACCTGATTAAATGTGCATCAGTCAGTATATTAATCCTTTTTTCTAAAGGTACTTTAAAACGTATATTATGGATATATTTGGACTTTTATTTTAAAAATACTGACATTTAATTTTATGATTTTCTCTAGAAATATTCCAACACCAAATATTACATATATTTCAAATTTTGACAATTTTTCTTTAAATATTCGGCTTTTTTTACCTGAAAAATTCCCTATTTTTCCTCTCAAGAAATCATTAAATGTTTCCAATATTTTCTCTTAGTTTTTCTTTTATTTCTAAAATTACTTCCAGAAATATTCCGTGTTTTTCCTCTTAAATATTTGTATTTGTTTTCTCAAAATATTTCAAATGATTTTCTTCCAAATATTTCTATTTTTAAATATTCTGACTGTTTCTCCTGAATATTTGCACTCCTCCCAGTTTAATATAATTTAATATAATGTATGTCATCACCCCTGCAGCGCTCTCTCTCCGAACCAGTCTCCACGGCCGAGCTCTCTCAGGTGAGCTGTCTCCTGATTGGCCGGATCCTCCTGGGTCACGTTCACCTGGAGACGAGGTGATTGACAGGTTAATGAGTTATTAATAATAATGAATGTATAATATAATTAAACAGATTACCTTCCCCTTGCTGATGATGAAGAAGGTGTCTCCTGTCGCTCCCTGTCTGACGATGAACTCCCCGTCTTCATAGTGAGTCTGAACACAGGAAATGTTTGTTTATATTTGTTGTTGTTGTTATTTGTTAAAATCTAACGTGTTTAGTTCTCACCTCCTCCATGACGTCGGCCAGTTTACTGAGAGTCTCCTCGGACAGGCCCTGGAACGAGGGAACGCTGAGGAAACAACACTTTATTATAGAAGTAAATAAATAAACAACAATAAAACCAAAAACGTATGAATAATTTACAATTAATGAATTAAAAGAAAATAAAAAAATTGTGAATCCAAAAAAGGAGATAAACAAATAAAGTAATAAATAGGTTAAATAAATAAAAAAATGCAAATAAAAGACTCAATAAAATAAATAAATTAATGTACGAATAAACAAATCTAATAAAAAAGGCTTAGTTTTTGTAATTATATAAATATATATAAAAAAAAACATTAAAACAAATAATAACAAAAAATAACTCATTCAAAATTAAATGTTAAAAATAGCTCAATCAAAAACAAATCAAAACCAAATAAATACATCACTAAAAATAATAATAAATAATGAATGAATATGTGCTCTGTGTGCTTGTGCTCACCTCTTGAGGAAGTCCATGTACTCGGCGTGTTTAATCAGACCGGTCCGCATCATGATGGTCTGGAAGCACTGCCGGTCGATCGCCCACAGCTTCACCTCCACCAGAGCTATACAGAATATATACATATATATATATATACACAGCTTCACCTCCACCAGAGCTATACAGAATATATATATATATATATATATATATATATATATATTAATATACAGAGCTTCACCTCCACCAGAGCTATACAGAATATTAAATATATATATATATATATTAGGGCTGCACGATATATATCATGTCGTGACAATAATCGCGCTATGCGCATGCGCGATATTCACATCGCGTGGACGT